CAGAGAGTGAGGTAAAAAGAATTTCACGGAGTAGAAAATGATACTTCTTTGTAATTAGGTCTTAAAAATTACATCTCAGAGAGAACGGCAGCCTGCGTGTGGGGAGCGATTTGGACTTTCACTCCGCATTTGGCACCCAGTGAATCCCATCTCAGCAGTACATGAACTCCTCTGAGGACACCATGTTTGCTATAGAAATAAGAATATAAAGCATCTCACACCTTGATTTCATAGAAAGTATTTCAGAAGGACTCTGTGATGAAAATGTTGCTTCTTTCCAAACACCTAAGGGAGAAAAAAGTTGATTTCTTTCCCTAATTTTTCAACTTTTACAATCCCCCAATGAAATCATCACTTTTTTGAGAGTTCTCCCTGCAATAAAAATAAGTTACAAAGATGATGTAGTATAATCTAACTGGATCTTTTACATCTTCTTAAAATATTGATAAATCCTCCTAGAAAGGTGTCATTGGCTTGTGAAAGAGCTGTTAATTTTCTGTAAAGCAGGCAACATGTTTTTTGCATGTGTGTATCCTGTAGGGTTGTTGAGTTTGTGTTATGTTAATTTATGTAGAATATAAGTAGTAGATGTTTAAAGTTTATAGTGTGTGTTTAAGAGCAAAAGTACTCAAGTGCCCGGTAAAATTTTGCGAAGAATATTGAAATCAGTATTAGTTCAAGATCAAACTTGAAAAATAGAGAGGAGACATAATATTTAGAAGTAGTACACTGCACTGTTTTGCAAATGGTCTGGTTAATTGTCACAGCACATCTGTTAGCTTGCACAGCCTTTTGCACTGGTGAAAAAATGGAAACAGAAAAAGCTTAAGTTGAAGTCACAAGGTCAACAAAGTAATCACTTATTCACACTCCTTGTGAATAAAAAGTGTTGATTATGGTATTCATCCTCCTCAACATCTGATGACTATTAATATAGGAATGTCATTTGCCCACTCAGGCATCAGTGTCTAGCACAAAAGCAATTTTTAAATGCAATGTTCTTTCCTATTGCTGAATTATTCTCTAGAGATGGACATGTTCGTGTTTGTAAAATCTCTCTCAGCTACAGTTGGAATTTTGGGTTTGGTACTGGCTTCTTTGTCATTTGTTGAAAAACTAGAGAACTTGCTGAAATTTTTATTAAAAATATTAATAACAGGTTTCAAGGAAAAAATGTTCAAATTTCTTGGTAGTAATGAATTTTTAGGGGGGACATGCCACCAAATTTTCTTTAGACATACCATACATCTTTATTACGGAAGATGTGTTTACCTGTAAGTTGTGAGGCCATTATAATGGGTCCCCTTTTCCATAACAAATGTATCTTATTTAATGTATTTCCTGTTTCTCTTATTCAATTAGTTTGAGTGATTCTGTAGTTGGAAGAGATAATTTGAGTGACTCTGGAAAGGTTTCATGGTCTCTCACCTGCACTTGGTGCCTCTCTTGAGATTTCAGAGTGTAAAAGGGTGTGAGCCGCCAGCACTGAAATGACTCCAAGGGAGGAAAATGTAAAGGAGAAGAGATCAATTGTCTTTCTACCACCCATTAGAAGCATTTTGAATTTACATTAGTCATCAATAATAGTAATGTAATTATCATATTTTAAGATACATAATCAATGATGACTGAAAATTAGTCTCTTATCCCACTCAATCTTACACTCAGATACACTTTGCTTATACATAGATGTAATTTATTCTCATTTTAGAAGACATACATGACAAATACATAGAAAGGAGATGACAGATATATACTACGTACCTCTGCTGGAAGGGGTACTAATATTGAAAAGCCTAGGCATTGCCTGGTATCTATCCATTTAACTGAAGATAATTCTTTTCAGAGTTTAAAGTTAGAACCAACTTGCCTTTGAGTTTGGTTATTTTCTAACTAATCAGCATTCTATTGAATATTTTTCAAATCAGTTTAGTTTACTAAATATGCTTATTGCAGTATACATTTAAAGATGAATTGTGTACCTGATCTTACATCCAAATCATTGTGCCTATGTGCTATCTTTATGTCCTTAAGAACATTGAATCTTATAAATATTATTTAAAGATTTAACTTGTAGAAGAGTTTCATCCAAAGGCTGAAGAGATTTGGACGCAACAGATAAAAACACTAATCTTTCATCTTGTTTGTACTGGATTACAGCGTCTGTACCTTTCTTAAGCATAGCATTCCCTTTATCTGTGGGGAACACGTGCCAAAAATCCCTGTAATTGCTGAAGCCACAGGTAATGCTGAACAGTTTGTTAGATGCTGTGACCTTTTTTTCAAATACTTATTTTAAAGTTTAACACATACATTTTGAATGTGATCTATTATGAGTCAACACAAATACTAATATTTCAATGCAGGTTATTACAAGGAACTGAAACAGAAGAAAAGGAAACTATGAATAAAGGACCAATGTGCTTGACACGCTTATAGCATCAGTGTAAGAGATGTGCTTGCCCCATTCAGATGGTCTTTCCGTCATAGGTGGCAGAAGCCTCAAGGTAACTCCGGAATCCTTTCCTGCCTTGCCCCTTGCAGCCCTGCTTCTGTCCTCCCCTCCTGGGAGTATGAGCTTTCAATACCTAACTGCACTGCAGATCCACGTTAGCTTCTGCTTCTGAAAAGCCCATCCTGGATATTTTGTTTCATTTAGGGGCGTAAAACCTTATGTATTCCACAATATTCTGTCAATTATGCCTGTAGTTCTCAACCACTGACGCTAAGTTTCAATGAGGATAATGAATTTTAGAAATTAACTACACTTTCTTATCCCAATAACTGATGGTTTATCATTTCTAGGATATTTCAGAGGACATGATGAATGAAATGGATGGAGGAAATCAGTCTATAGTGTCAGAATTTCTGCTTCTTGGACTTAGTCATTCACCAAATATTCAGATTTTACTCTTCATAGTATTCTTAATGCTTTATCTCATCATTGTACCAGGAAATATTATCATCATAACCTTAGTCGTCACTGACCCCCATCTCCATACACCTATGTACTTCTTGTTGGCAAACCTGTCCTTTGTTGACATGTGGCTCTCCACAAACACCACACCGAAGATGATCATAGACTTTCTCAGGAAGAACAAGACCATTTCCTTTGCAGGCTGCATGTCCCAGATCTTCTTCTCCCAATTCATTGCAGCACTTGAGATGGTACTTCTGGTGGTCATGGCCTATGACCGCTATGTGGCCATCTGCAAACCACTGCACTACTTCACAATCATGGGCCTGCAAAGGTGCATTGGGCTGGTGGTGAGTGCCTGGGCCATTGGCCTTGTGCATGCCATGAGTCAGCTTATTGTGATTGTACCTCTGCCTTTCTGTGGCCCCCAAGAAATAGACAGCTTCTTCTGTGACAGACCACTGGTGATCAAGTTGGCCTGCATGGATCTCTATAAGATAGAAATTTTCATGAATGTTAACTGTGGGATTGTGGCTGTCATTCCCTTCATTCTCTTGTTGATATCCTACTCACATATTCTTCTCACTGTCTTGAGAAGCTCTAAAGTTGGTGCATCCAAGGCCCTGTCCACCTGTTCTGCCCACATCACAGTGGTGCTGCTCTTCTTTGGACCCTGCATCTTCCTCTATGTGTGGCCACTCAACATCACCTGGATGGACAAGTTCCTTGCTGTGTTTTACTCTGTATTTACACCTTTTCTTAATCCAACCATTTACACGCTGAGAAATAAAGAGATGAAAAATGCTGTGGAGAGACTCAGAAAGTACTGCATAGATTCCAAGGGAAACAATCTCAAAACACAGTGAGCTTTCACTATGTGGGAGTTTTCCAAGCCATCTTACTATGACTTAAACTTTGTCAAACGAAACATAAATAATATTAACAAAAATGCCCATCCATTTCAATGGAGCATCTTAATGAAATTTTTAATATTTTTGCATTTTTCTTCTAGCTTCATTTATAAAAATGTTTCCATGGAATTTACAATTCACCTCAAAATTTTTACCAAAAAATGTCATCATTATATCTCTTTAATGTAACATCATACCCATGTGACTGGAGAAACTGCAGGAAATACTGAAAACATGAACAAGCCAAAGTAACAAAATCACATGCAGAGTGTCGTTAGGTATTTCCCTGCCCAGATTTCCTTAACTCCATAAAAATAAAGATACATAAATATTTTCCTTTCATAATGATTAAAAAATATGGTAAACAAATAAAGAGAAAATTTCAGTGACTATTTTAATAACAGGTAAAGTCTGTTTTACTGTGAATAAACGGGTGACAAATATGATAGAAAAACATGGAGAAATAGATAAAAACTATTGTTAAATGCTTAGATTATCTTCTCCATAATTTAAAGAAGAGAGTCAAAAATTAATCATGTGCAGTTGACGTGTAGAACAAGAGAGCCAATTGGAAGGAAGTGTTATTGTAGAATTCTTTGTTCAAACACTTGTGCACACTGCTAATTTTCAGATACAAATAGAGGGTTTTTTTTAAGTATTTGAACATATTTTGGTCACAAAACAAGTCTCATTAAAGTAACAAATATTAAAGTCATACAGAAATTTACATGCAAATATTCATCACAACTTTATTTTATAACCAAAATGGAAACAACTTAATGTCTTTCATCCACTGAACAAATTAGCAAATTATGGTATATACATGAAATGGAATAATACACAGTAATCGAAGGAAATCACTCTTCGTAATCACAAAATGATAAGTACATGGACAAGTACAATGAGGGATAAGTGCCACAAAGAGTGCATAATATATGACAGTATTCATGATTCATTATATCTCTATGTTTATAGAAAATGTGAACAAGTGGTACTGGAATACATGTTTGTGCTCATCTTACAGAGAGAGAACATGCTTATCTACTGGAGAGAGTACCAATAGGAGTTACAAAGGAAGGAGCATTTTTTTAGATGAGGCTTCAGTAGGGACCTTCCAGTTTCTGTTGAAGCTGAGAATACTGGCCATCTCCTCATCAGTCAGCTGGAGGTCAAACACCCGAAAGTTCTCACGTATGCGTGAGGGTGTCACAGACTTGGGGATCACCGCCACTTTCCTCTGGATATGGAACCTAATCAGGACCTGGGCTGATGTTTTCTTGTTCTTTGCAGTAATTGCTTTAATCTTTGAATCCTCCAAGAGTGGAGGGTCATCTGGCTTCCCCCAAGGTCTCTCTGGAGAGCCCAGCAGGCTGTAGGCTATGGCAGTGATGTCCTTGGAGTGGCAGTACTAGATCACTTTGTCCTGGATGAGTATGGGTGGCACTCGACCTGATTGGTCACTGGTTTATGTTTCAGTCCAGGTTTGTTCAAGATCCTTTCAATCTGGAAGTTGTTGAAGTTGGAGACACCCAGAGCTTTCACTAATGCCTCATCCACCAGTTCTTCCCTGACCTCCCAGACATCCAAGTATGTTATTTTGCTGGTGAGAACATTGTCTTTATCATCTTTGGGGAATAACTCCTTCCATCTGGTCTGAAGTCTTTGTGGCCAGTGAATAAGATAGAGGTCCAGATAGCCTAGTTTCAGATCTGTGAGGGTGTTCTGGAAGGCTTCCTTCAGCAGTTTTCTCTCAAAGCAGGTGAACCATAGCATGTTCATAGTGAAGACGTCCTCCTGCTTCACAACCTTCTCTTTGATCATCTCTTGGATGGCTTCTCCCACCTCATTCTCATTATGATACATATATGCACAGTCAGAGTGACAATATCCAGCGTCAATGGCCACCTTCACTGCTTCCTTTACTTGGCCTGGGGAAGACCTCCACAGGTCCAGGCCCACGATGGGCATCTTGGCTTTGGTATTGAGCTCCACAAAGGTGGCCATGGCTGCTGGTGAAGTGGTTCTGAGAGAGCTGATAGATGTCTGTGTCCTGGTTAAGGAGGCAGGAGGTTTTATCTAAGCTTGTATTTTTTAACTTGTGGAAGAAATAATGTATCTATATGAAGATTTAAAATGTCATATTATTTTTAAAGATTTTATTTTATTCCTGTGTATGTGTATGGGAGGGGGACATGCATGTGAGTGCAGGTGCCTCGGAGCCATCAAAGGGCCTAAAATACCCTGGATCTGGAGTTACAACATTGTGAGCCACCACATGTGGGTGCTAGAAGCCAACCTTGGACCCTGTTCAAGAGCAGTAAGCACTCTTAAACACTGAGCCACATTTTCAGCCATGATTTTGTTATTTTAAATCTTATAGGGGATTTAGTTTGTCATTTTTTACAGGAAAATGTATCATAAATTTTATTCGCTAGTAAAGTTCTATAACATTTTTCTATCTTCTTTATTCTTTTTTATAACCCACTAAGTCTAATTAGTGTTGCCTGTGTGCACATGGGTGTGGCTTTGACCACTGGGACATGGGCAACCTTGCAGAAGACAGAGCCCTAAGAAAATGTGACCCTCCCTACCCTTAGTGGCCATCAACTGTATGACTCCTAAGCTAAGGGTAGGACCTCAGGGGCCACTTCCTCATCAAAGTTGGAATTTTGACTGGCACGATCTTGTGCAAGTTTTGTGCCGTTAACCAAAGCTGCTGTAAGTCCATGTATACAGCAGCCATGTCATATCTACAAGATGGCATTTCCTAGCACTCTCCAAACCTCCAGCTCTTATGTTCTTTCCACCCCCTCCTCTATGATGTTCCCTGAACCTCTAGGCAGAGAAGGTTAATATAGATCCACCATCTATTATGACTGAGCACTCACAGTCCCATAGGTAGAACACATGTGATAAGGAAGAACAGGAAGGGAACACTGAGGATTGAAACCCCACTAATTTGTAAGCTAATTAAAATGTAATATTTTTGAAAGAAGTTTGCACAGAAGAACCCTGAATGGGTGAGCAATGTTGCTTCAAAAGGTATAGGTTATCAAGTGAAAATCTCAGTGCCAGCTACACGTTACTGCCCTATGTTATGGTTGGGGGGGGCCCCAGAGGCACCAAAACAACACAGTCTGTTGCACTTTCTCTTTATTGTCTGCCGTGACTGTCGGTTAAGACCCTATTTCTGAAGACACCACTCACTTTGGAGGCAGGACATAGAGGAATCAAACTCAAACCAAGAAAGTCTCTCCCGCTTGGTTAGCTTTCAAAGTGCTGGAAAGTGCTTTGATGGCTGTTAAGAGAGAAAGGACATCAGTGGTCTGACCAGTACTACATCCTGTATGCTACAAGACTAACCTGCCATGTAAAATATGCCTACTGGATGAAAAAAAGTGGCAAGACCATTGGATTCGAGGTCTGCTCCCCAGGAGGAAACTCATGCCTAGTGCTGTAAACTCAGTCAAAACTTCATGGCTGTGAAGGTTACAGATGGGAGAACTACTGTCCTTTTGCTACATGGTCGTGTTGTCAAACTGCTTTCTAAATACTTCTGTTGCTCTCAGTCTTTGTCAGAGAAGCTTCTTGTGCATTGGGCAGTGGTTACTACAGAGACTCACAACTGGTCAGTTAACCTATTTTTCAATTTCATTATTCACAGAGATGTTGTTTTGCCCTTTTGCAGAATTCTATTTGAGTAAAAAGAAGAATTTCAAAACCCTTTTCCTGACTGCCTTTTGTATTCGACTTCAAATATAAAAAATCTCTTACTCATAACTGGTCAAATGCTGAGAATAACTATCTGTGTATGCTCAGCTATAGATGGGTCATCTTCATCAACATTTACCCACCCAAGGCTCAGTAAACATTGACAAAGGAGAGTGGAAAGAATTTAAAAGGCAGAGATTAGGGAAGAGAGATGTGACATGCTGTCCTCGGATATGACATGGCTGATGCACACATCCACTCACAGCTGTAGTTGCTTGTACAAGACCTGCACAAGATTAAGCCAGTCAAAATGTCAGCATGAATGAGGGAAAGGATTCCAGAGTCCCCATACCTGGAACAGGAGCTGTGGTCAGTACATGACGCTGGAGACTCATTTTTCTTTGTAGATTGGCCACTGGTAGATTTTCCATGCTCCAGTGGATGGTCCCAAACCCATTCACACATGGTCAGCGCTAATTGGATTTGTTGGACTATTTAATAATGATAATAATATTTAAAGGCATGAAGTCAGGAGTGAGATAGTTTCAATGGGTCCCAAAAGGAGTTTGGAAGGGGTGATAGGAGATGGATGAGATTAAAAAATGTATACACACAAAACTTTCAAAGAAAAAATAAAATATTACTTTAAAAGGATCATCTCTCTCAGGAAGGCCATAGTGAATGATGCATTTTTTTAATGAAAGCTAACTGCCTGGATTTCTAAAGATTTACTTATTTTTGATGTGTATGTGTGTTTGGCCTACATGTATTCTTGGTGCCCTTGGAGGGTGGAAGAGGGTATCCAATCCCCTGGGTCTCTGATCTGGAGTTACCTACAACTGAGAGGTGTGAAGTGGGTGCTGGGACCAGATCCATGGCAAGCCATAAGTGCCTTACCTTACTTCTGAGCCAGCACTCCATGCCCAAGGCTGAAATTGGTTACATTTTTAGAAATCAAGTACCATGTAGAATGGGTATCCATATGTATATGCCTTTGGTCACAGGATAAAGGAAGATGAGGCACACAGATAAAAATGGAATATTGTCAAGAAAGACAATTTAATGAAAAGGAAAATATGCAATTACCTTTCCAACATTTGGCTTGAGGGGAATTCTCAATTTATTTAAAGAAAAACATAGCAATATTGTTAAATTTAGAGGCTAATAATCAGGGGTTAATATATACTTTAGCCTTTTTTTACTCATAACTAACAGCCAGAGGTGTGTTTTGATTACACATGTGG